TTGGTCTTTCATCGCGGCACTTTTTTACATTACCATGAACACGTGGTATTATACCATTTGTTGCCAGATGATTTCTAACATTTTTGAAGTGCATACGGCCAATTCCTAACATATTGAGATATGTTTTCTAAAGTGGTGTATTGCGATCTCAGTAGTAAAACGTTCTCTTATTAATACGAGTTTTCTTTTTAATTCATCGGCTGGCAGTTATTTCTCCACCATTCATCGCTTTCAGTTGGGCCATTAAAAATATATCTTGCTTGGATCTGGAAAGAGCTTGAAACGCCTCATGTAATTCGGCAAACTTTTCTCTCAGAATCTTTTGAGCAACCACAATGGCAACCTATTTCCAAGAAACGCATTGCTTTCTCGTATTCGGTGGAATCGTTATAATTATAATCCTTCATATACGGGTACTCCTATATATAATTTTATCGTTTTGTAATAATTGTTATTAATTCAGTTGTTGAAAAAGATTTGGTATTATGTTCATCGACTAGGCCCTGATTAGTAGCTAACTTTACAAATTTAATTTGATAAGAATCTTATTCGTCCTCTTCTTTTGATGAGAATTCTATTTAGAGTGTAGCAAAGTTTCTACATACTACTCTATTATGACTTTGCTTGTTTCTTACCTTTCCTACTCTGCTTGCGCTTCTTTACAGTTAATGAACTTTCTTCTTGCTCATCACTAACTTGTAACCTGTCATTGCGAATTATAACATGTTTGTCACTGCGCGGAATAATATGTTTGAGTTGAGCACACAGGAAGAAATTACCTTTTCTTAGCACTCTCATAAGCACAAGGTAACATGTAATACAGAAAACGCCTGTCTTCTGGAGCGCAGAGTAGTGTTGCATCATTCCGTGCACAAAGAAGACTTTCAAGCATATTCCGGTATTCGGATTTAAAGGAACCTAGACCACGGACTAAGAGCCGATTATCACTGCTCAAACTCTCAGCTGTTTTGGATGCAGATGATCACGTAGTTGGTGGGCTATATTTAAATAAATTAAGCTCAGAGGTATCTTTATATGCTGCTCCTGCAAGAGAAATAGACAGCGTTTACTAAAATACTCTATGCTTCCTGTAAAAATTACTATATCAAATTTATGATCAAAGGTTTCTCACCAATGTGGAAGGATAGAATAAAAATAATGTCACCATTTGATTTTATCTATATTTAATAATTTGTGGCTATTATGAAATTATTGAATTAAATTTTATGATATCTGAACATACTAAATTTAAATGTGATGGTAGTTTTGAATAGATTAAGAAATTATACTGCAAAATATCAGTAGATTGCGTGAATCATATTTGATGAGATTAAATAAAGTTCGGTATTATAAAGATGACAAAGGTTTTCAATATTTGGATCTTAGTTTTGTGTTGTGAATTTTCTTTAAAAAATTGAGTGGCTTGCAAAAATATTAGCATTTTGTATTTGAAGCAGTCAAATCTGATATTATTAAAGCTCAGCTGATTACTAATGATACTTATACAGAATTTAATTTATTAAAGTAAGTATTTCTGAAATTATTAAAGAAATTGAATTATTTTTTATTTTAGTTTTAATATCTTTTTCTTAAGACAAGAATATTTTTATCATAATATTTACCTATTTGCTAGAGATGAATTTAAAGATATTACTTGTTCAAGATTAATTTATATTGACAATAAATTAATATTTAAATTAAAATTTCTTTATCATTTTAATACTTGTTAATTTTTCTTGCTAGTATTAAGTTTTTTATTTAATTTTTTAACAAATATTATTAGTTTCTTTTATTTTGATTTTTTAAATTTAAATAAAAAAATATATTAAAATAACTATATATTAAATATAATTTATAAATATATTAAAAGAATAAATAATAATATATTATAATAGTAAAACAAGAAATAATAAAAATAATTAGTTTAATTAAAAAAAGAATAAAAATTTTTAATATAATTAATAATATAAAATACTATTTATATTTTATAAAGATGATAAATAAAAACTAAAACAAGAGTTTTATTAAATAAAATTAATAATCTTAATAATGTAAAAAAATATATTAATTATAATCAATAAGTAGATAAAATTAAAAAAAGATTTGCTAATATCTTTTAGAAGAAAATATTTTAGAAATAATAGAAAAACTAATTTAAAAAGCTAATCATTATGAGAATTTAGAGTTAAAAGAAATAGTTAAATTTTAAATAAAAGAAGTACAAGATTATTTATAGATTATTAAAATTAATAAAAAAGTAAAATAAAATATAAAAAAAATTAAATATAGAAAAATAAAAAAATCATAATATTAATTCAAAATTTATCAGTTTTTAATTTAGTTAAAGAATGAAAAATAAAAAATATTTTAATAACTTTAAAAAATAATAAATAGTTATATAAAAATCAAGTAAAAACTTAAAAAAAATATAAGCAATTTAAAACTATTAGAAAAAAAGATCAAGAATAATAAAATTTTAAAAAGAGAAAAGATAAATTTGCAAAAAGAATTAGAAAAAATAAAAAAATTACTAAAAAAAATTCAAAAACTAATTAAAAGTCAAGTAAAAAAAAATTAAATAGTAAACTTAAAAAAAATTAATAATTTAAAGAAATTATATAAAAAAGTTAAAACTTTATTTAAAAATTAAATAAAATTAAATTATTAAAAGAAAAACTAAAAACTAAACTCTAACAAATAATAAAAAAATAAAATATTCAAAAGTAAAAAATGAAAACTATTGCTTAAATAAAAGTTAAATAACTTATTAATTAATATTATTTTTTCTTATAAAGAAAGAATTTATATAATCTTAAATTTAAAAAAATAAAATTAGAAAATAATTTATAAATTTTGTTTTGATCTATTTATCAAATTAAAATTTATAATAAGTAATAAAATAGTTAAAAATAAAATAACTTATAAAAAAAAGTTTAAAAATAATAAGTTTTTTAAATATAAGAATTATAAAAGATTAAAAACTAAAATAAATATTAATATTCTTAATAATAAATATATTTATAATTATATTAAAGATAATAAATTATAAAAAAAGAATTCTTTTTTTTTACTTTATCAAAAAAAATGATACTTTTTTATAAGATACAAATAAATTTTTTAAAAAATAATTAACTGAAATTAAATAAATTATTATTATAAAAAGAAAAAAAATAATTAAATTTTAAGAAAAATTAGAAAAGTAAAGTAAAAGATAAAAATAAAAATTATTAGATAAGGTAAAAAGTTTAAAAGAAAAAATTAAATAATTAAAAAAGAAAAATAAATTATTAAAAAAATAATAAAATAATTAAATTACTCAAATTAAACTTAATAAGATTAAAAAATGATCTTAATTAAAATTAAAAAAATAATTTAAAGATTGATAAATTAATAAAAATTTTTTTCTTTATTTAAATATTTCTGAAAAATTTTAATATTATTTATTTTAAAAATATATAAAATAATTTTTTTCTTGAGTTTTTTTAAAATACTTTAAATAATATTATAATTCTTTAATTTTATAATAAATTTGATATAAATTAGTTTTATATTAATATTTTATATTTCTATATAAATTATAGCTATAATAATTAAACTATTATTAGTTAAATTAGTTAACTTTTAATCAAATTAATTTTTTATTTATATTATATAATAAAATATTTACTATATTGTAACAAAATTAGATTAGTTATTAATAATTATATTATATTTATCTTTTATCTTGCAGATTATTGCTGCGTCATATACTGTGCCATATATGACTTACTGCATCACAATCATCTAATCATATCAAGAAAAATCACCTGATTTATTTGAGTTATTTTAACTATAGATAGTTTTTTAATAGAATTTCTTTTTTCTCTTATTCTACTAATTTAGCTAGTATATTACTATATTTATATATTTTATTTATAATCATTTATTTCTTTATTTATTTATGAATAAGCATCTTTTGAAGATACTACCATATAAGTATTTTCTATTATTAATTTTATGTAATATTAATTTATTATTTAAAGATGCTATATCTGTTTTGTAATTTTAATAAGTAATGAATACAAGAATAAAAAATAAGTTTTAAACATAATCTCTTATCTGCTTTTGATTTAGTTTTCTATGTGAATTTTATTTCAAATAACATTATTTATATCTTGAATTTTCTGTGTGAATTTTCTTGATATAATATTATATTCTGACTTTTCTATGTGAATTATTTGAATATATTATACTACATAACAAGAAGATTATAACTTTAATAGTAGTGAAAAAGATTAATACTACATACATACACACATACACATATACTTTTTAACATTTCCTCAATTAGTGAATGACATATTGCTCATTCATCATTAATACACATAATATATATACACACATATACATATAATGTCTAGTCCTGATATCTTAAGTGAATAATTTTAATAACTTCTCACTAGTCTCACTAATCCTGTCTAACAATAGCAATAACTCATCACTGTTCTTGATAATGTTGATAATAATGGTGCTGGTCAATATAATCCTCCTGCATCAAGAATTCCTCTTAAGATTTCAATATACAAAGGAGAATCACATGAGAATATTAATATCTGGATCTTATAAGTAACTGGAGTACTACGTACTCAAGAAATTACAGATGAATAAACTTATATCATATATACTAGAACTGGTCTTGAAGATACTGCTCTTTATTGATATTTAAATAAAATATGTGCTACTAGAGAAAATCCTATCTTTGAAAACTGAAAAATATTTCTTACTAAAGTTTGTAAAGTATTTCAATTACCTAACTATTAATAACATCTTTACCATTAACTTTGCTAACTTTATCAAACTAGTATTATATAGGAATATGGTACTAAATTCAGAAATATTATAAGACAAATTAAAAGAATGAAAGAATTAGATTAAGTCATATATTTTATTGATGGACTTAAATCTATAACAAAAATAGAAGTATCATATTAAGCATCAAAAACTTTTGATGATGTCTAAAAACTTACAATTTATTATGATACGGCTATATTTAGTATTAGTCATTTTCTTAAAAATGATAATTGTAACCAAAATCAGAAATATAAGAAAAATCTGAGCTTCTCTTCTAATAACATGTATAATAATACTGGTCTCATATCTATGAAACTAAATTATGCTAAAGATTCTTATCAATATAATAATAATAGTAACAATAATAATAATAATTGTGATAGAAATAATAACACTCATAATTGTTATAACTATGACAAACCAGATCATTTTGCCAAGAACTGTCATTCTAAAGGAAAAGCCAAGATTAATAATATTAAAGAAAATAATAATACTATAACTACTACATAATATAATAATAATATTGAATTTGCTTACCTGAAAGATAATTATGAGAAACTTTTAAAATTTAATGGCTATATTAATAGAAAGTCTGTCTAGATTTTGCTTGATAGTGGAGTATCATGAAATTTTATTGATAAAACATATATTAAGAATAATTACTTACAAACTCATAACATGAATTCTATTACTGTAGAACTTGTAGATAGTCATAAAAAGAAAGTTAACTTATTTGTAGCAATCAAGAAATTAAAACTAGATACATATCATATCTCTAATATCAATACTCAAGTTCTTAATATTTAATACTATGATCTTATACTTGATAAACCATGATTTTGTCATGCTAATCTCACCATTGACTGGCATAATAATTCCATAACATTTCACTATAGTAATAAAGTAATCAAGATTAATGTTAGTAAAGATAAACTTGCACCTAGCTGCAACTTACTTTATGTATCTTGACAATAATTTGCTAAAATTTCACCTGATGCTGAATTATTTGCAATTTGTGCCACTATAAAAGAAATACATCAAGAAGTAATAACTTCTCATGAAGTTACTCAACTAGTTAAAGAATTTGCTAATGTCTTTTCTAATTCACTTCCTAATAAGTTATCATCAAAACATGCTATAGATTATGCTATTGATTTAATATCTGACTCTGAACCATCATCTTATCCTACATATTGCTTGTCTTATGTTAAAATAGATGAATTGAAAAAACAATTATCTGACT